TGCCTCTTCAGGGTCTTAAGTATATCTTATTTACTTTCCTTAAACTGGAAAATTTCCATACATCTATATTACAGGAAACCAAAAAACTGAACTAAAAGAATAAAGACCATGGATTCAGGATTTAAAAAAACTAGTAACTCATTTCTGAAACAATGAGTACCTTGTAGCCTAAGGGAGTAAGGAATGGTTAAATGACTACTAATAAAAATAAGGTTTCTTGCTGAAGTGATGAAAATGTTCCAAAATTACAGTATGTTGATGGCTGCACAACTCCCAAAAATATAGTCAGTAGGTCTGAAACCTATACTTTAAATCGATGAACTTTATAATATATAAATTATACCAGAGTTGCTTAAATCATTCCATAACATGAAAATCATTTCCTCAAGTCACTCTTTTTACAATGCACATATGAAAGGCATGCCTCATTTGATAAAAGAGAAACACACATTTTTAATCATTTATACAGTTCAGCTATTACTGTCTGATCAAATTTAAAGTTCCTTAAAATATGGATTTTGTTTCCAAAAGTATAGGAAGTATATATATTTGACAAAGCCAAAATAGGTAAAGGAAAACATAGCTTACATCATTCATAACCATAATTAATTTATGATAGTATTCAAAATAGGATTCTAATAGATTTCTATGTTCTTTTGAATTTAGAATATTAGTCCATGCTAGCAAAAGATAGGGATCATGCAACCCTATCCAGAAAATATTTTACATTCTTGCTGGAGTAGCATTACATAGACTTATAACATAATTTCTAGAGCTTAATGTACTCATTTTAACTGTCACAGGTACTATGACACTTCCATTTGATAATAATTTATACTCTAATACTTTTTAAAGTAAGCATGATGGTGCTTGCTAAAATTCCAGCACCGTGGGAGGTTGAGGCAAGAGGATTCACAGTTCAGTTACACCTGAGTACTTAGTGAGACCTTGCCTCAAAATTTGAAAAGAAAGGGGTGGTGTGCAGTGGGATACAGCTCAGTGTAAAGACTCTAGGATGAATCCCCAGTACTGCAAAAACTACCTAAATAAAAATAAATTGTGTCTTTTAAATCTGAAATAATAAGGGCAGGAATATATATTTTTTTCATTTTTATCAGCAAATGTTTATAGAACATAATGACTACATCCCTTGTGGAGAGCTGGCACATGTACATAACACATCTTAATTCCCTTTTCTTCCCCTCCCTCCTCCATCTCTTGGCTCTCTTTCCCTTTGCAAAAGCTCTATCACTCTGTTTCCCATGATCTTTTTCTTTTTAATGTACAGGTTGGGTTTCTCATATGTGAAAAACTATGTAATATTATATTTAAGGTCCTGTGTCTATCATTTCACTCAACATTATGGTCTCAGGTATCTTCCCCAAACAGGTAAAGATATCATGCATACCCGTGTTCATAGTAGCACAGTTCTTAATAGCTAAATCTTGGAAATGGCATATATGTCTATAAAGAGATAAACAGAGTATATTTTTTTTAAATGTCATTATCATAAAAAGAAACAAAATGGAAATTTCAAGTTTATAGCAAACTAAATGTAATACCTCACCCAAGACTGGCTACTGTACTGCAGGAGCACAAAGAATTGCTATGTGGAGAGAACATTATTAGGTCATTAAACCAAAAGTAGTACATACACAGTAGATCAGACAAACACCTGTCAAGCTTTCAAACAAAAACACTTGTATGTTCACATGTATACATATGTACATAGAGAAAAAAGTGATTTTAAAAAGTAGTAAATGTTAAAATTAGGTAAATCTGAATAAAGAAGTACATGAGGGTTTTCTGGTTCTATTCTTATTGTTACAACTTTCCTAAAGTTTGAAAGTATTTAAGAATTAAAAAGTAGTAAGATAATGCAAACACTCTAAGGTTGGGTCTTTTTGTCTCTGTTTTGAATCCCATATGATCTCTACCTTTTAATTATAGGTTAGTAACATATTTAATATAACTATTTACATGATTGGTATAAATCTAACATTTTTTAAAAAATATAACATTTTGCTATTTGTGTTCTATTCTTCCCATCTTTGCTTTGTTCTATATTTTTTCTTTGTAGTTCTGTTTTTAGTTTCCTGGTTTTCTGGTTTCTTCTTTTGGATTAACCAAATATTTATTCAACATTCAACTGTATCCCTTTCACTGACTTTTTATCTATACTTCATTTTACTGTGTTTGTACTCTGGGGATTAAATTATGCATCCTTAACTTATTATGCTTTACCCTAAAAGTTATGGCTCTTCATGTATGTTGTAAGAAATTTGCAACAGTAGTTTCATTTACCCTACTTGGTGCAGTTACCATCATACACTTTACTGCAAAATATAAAACCAATATGTATCACTGTTTTTGTCTTAAACATAAATTAAGAAATTCCATTTTAAAAATTTAAAATTAAGAAATTTTTTTTGAGAAAAAATATTTTACTTTTGGTCACATATTTATCATGTCTGGCTCTCTTTAATTTTTCCTATAGGTCTGAGTTACCATCTGGTATCATTTTCTTTCCATTTGAAAAACTTTCTCCCAACATTTCTTAACATGTACTTCTAGTGGTGACAAATTCTTTCAGCTTTAATTACTGGAAAATGGCTCTATTTTATCTTCAATTTGAAGAATATTTTCAGTTCATACAAAGTTCTATTTTTTTTTTTTTTTTACCGGGAACCAAACTCACGACCTTGCGCATGCCAGGCAGGTGCTTTTGCCGCTGAGCTAAATTCCCAGCCCCACATACAAAGTTCTAGACTGACAACTTTTGGATTTTCTAGCACTTTCAAGATTACATTCACTCATTTCTAGCTGGTCCAATGAGAAGTCCATTATGACTTTTTCTCTGTTTCCCTGCAGGTACTAAGTCCTCCTTTCCTTTAGCTATTTTTAAGATTGCAGCCACCGTCAATAACCTGCTAATGATGTGTCTAGGTGTTGATTTTCTTTGTGTTACACTGCTTGGGATTCATTGAGCTTCTTGGATCTGTAGATTTATATTTTTTACTAAATTTGAATTTTTTTTTTTTTTACTATTATTTCTTTTGATTTTTCTGCTTTATAATCTCTCTGTCGGTTCTCCTTCTAAACTTACAATCCCACAATCACTAGACTGCATGGTATTATCCTAGAGGATATTCTATGGCTTTGTACATTTTTCATTTTGGTCTATTTTCTTTCTGTGCTTTGGTTTGGGTAGACTGATCTATCTTCAAATTCACTGATCCTTTCTTCTTAGTATACAATTTGCTCCTAAGCCCATCCAGTGAATTTTTCATTTGAGTTATTAATTTTTGTCAGCTTTTAAAATCCTGCTTATGAGTCATATTTTCTTGCCCTTTCACATGAAGTAATTATATGATAGGCACCGTAGATACTTCATTATTAATAGTCTGGATCATACTGTCTTAATTTAATGACAGTTTTGTGCTATTAGGCAGTTACCTCATAGGGGGCTCAGGCTGCTCTTCCCACACTGGCTGGTCTGAACTCCAACATTTCCAAGCACTCTTCCAACATCTTTAAGAATCTCCTTTTGGCTCACAGTCTTACAATAGCTGTTTTCTGCTACACCTTGTGGTATGCACAGCTCTGTATTTGATCGAAGAGCTGAAAGGCATTCTTTTTAAAGTTTTATGGAGCTTCTTTTCCACACAATTCTCTCATCTCCACAAATCCCAGCTTCTTCTACATCCCTAATCTCTGCCCCCTCTGCTAAGAGAATCTACTGCTGCCTCTACACTTTACTTCCTCATGCCATAGTTTGGAGAATGCCCCAGGAGGAAGGAGGGATGAATGTAGCGCTCACCTCATGAGTTCTCTTCTCTGTTTCCGCGCTACCTGAGTCCATCCAATTTTATAGTTGCTTTATACAAAGAGGTAACTTCATTGTGGCCAGAATCAGAAATTCCTAATTCTAGCCATTTTTGAAATAGCTCTAAAATCTATTACCTTATACTTAAAACAAACAGGTGACACAAAAGATACATGTCATTTCCATATGGCAAATTAACAAAGACACAGAATGTTAAACAACTAGCCAAGCTCTTACTACAGGCACATAGTAATTGACAAAGTTGATAAAGGAAAAAAAACTCAAACAATGTAGTTTCAATACACATTATTTCTACTAACCTATCAATAAAAAATTCACTGTCCACAAAAAATGTCTGAGTATCCAAGAATCAATCATCCAATTCACCAGAAGCACGCCTCTATTCTCAATTTGCAATTTACATTCATGATTTATTTTTTATTGCAAAGATTCCTATTTGAATACAAGCAATTTCATTCCCACACAGTTCCATTTTTCAATTCCCTACATATATGTAATTTTTTTCATATTAGTAGGTACTACCTAATCCAGTCACTTCTATTTGGCTATGTCAAACTTGCTTCAGCTACTCTTAATTGTATTTCTAATTTTCATCTGCCCAAGTCAAATATATTTTGCTGACACATGGAAAGAAAATATAATACAATTTCTAAATGCCATCTCAGCAAACTGCAATATAATTCTTCTTATCTTGAACAAATCAATCAAAGTGATACATTTATAGTTTACTGATTTATTCTCATCTCTCAGAATAAGCTCTTGATCTGTCATTTAACCAATATATGCAAAAAATAAAAGGAAAGTCAATAAAATTAAGCTTTATAAAACAGATTTAACATTGCACACTTACTACCTTCATATATGATTAAACCCAGAGAAATAAAGTACATTAGAATAGAAAGATAGATACCGTACATCCTTGATTACTACACATTAAGAATATACTTCTATTTTTAAAGCCTTGCCAAAAAGTTTGTGAAATGGTCTTGAATATGGTATGTCAATGACATCAGAAGTTATCACCTTTAAATGGAAGTAGTACTTCTTCAGCCTCTTTATATCCATAAGATAATATTTTAGATGGCCTTTTTTTTTTTGCTGTTCCAAATCGTTGCCCTGAATCAAGATAATACCCTTTGCAAAAAGTCCTTACCTGCAACACATCTTGGATCTTTACCCATACATCTGCCATATCATACAATTTGATCTCTTCTTGCTGAGTCAGCGGAATCCCAACGGCATCCTGAAGGTATCCCAGGACCACAGAGTGAGCAGTGGCTACAGCATTAAACTTGTCAAACAGTAGCTCCAGCAGCTCTAGAAGTAACCTAGTGATAAAACAAACAAGTAACATATACATGCACACATATGTTTTACACTGGCCTGAAAGAAAAACATCAAACTAAGGTGAAATACAGTAGTATACTTTGACATAAACAGTACAACTAGCACATTTCAACAGATATGATTCAAACAGTTAGAGTCTAAGCAACTTTAAGAAATTTATCCAAACCTCATTTTACTCTGCTATAAAATGGAAATGATTTAAGAATTCAAAAATAAACTGTAAACTGAAACCAGTAGCTCAGTACACGTTTGTTTCTTTTTTAACATATTTCAGTAATTAGAGTACTACCACTCTAAATTCATATAGGCAGCCTTTCTAAGGATTTCAGGCAATTTTTCAGACAAAGTTCAGATGTTATACAGAATATGCTATTCCCTAGCAATAATAAACTGGGCTGGTAAGGGTACTAAACCTTTTAGTCATGGAAAGCTATGTGTTCTACCATTCAAATGTACAGCCTAAGGTGCCTGGAAAACAAAATATACACATGCCAAGCAATCTGACTTTCACTACAGGAAACAGCTTAGGCATACACATCATCTCATTTATCATAGTGAGATATGCTGGACACATATTATTACATCAGTTTATATGCTCAAGGATACAAAATGAGGTTGCAAAGCAGCTGGGCCTACAGCAAAAGCTGATTTACATGTCAGTGCGTTCAGCCATCTATCTCTCGCTAAAACTCTAGAATGTAGATATGTACATAGAGATAACACAGAGCTTTTTGTCATGGATACAAAGTAACACTATATAGCTTCACTGATCACCCCTACCTAAAATCATTTCTACCTCTGAATTTGGACAGTATTTTATTCAACTTTCAAGAAACTTATCCCAAGTGGCTCACACATGTGATTCAATAAATGTGGGTCATATTCATTTATAAACAGATATTTTATCTCTCTTCTCTATTATTAGTCTTCCAAGGGAGGCACTGCCTTGTGCTCAGGAGCACTTAGAACAAATGATTACCAAATATTTGCTGATGAATTTAATGTGTATTTCATGAACAAGTACAGGAAATCTTGAAATTTGGGCCTTATTGTACAGTATGTTGTATGGCTCTCAGTTCATAGTTCTTAAATAGACTATTAAACCAAACTGGAAAGTAGAAAGAAAAATCAAAAGAGCTCAATATAAGAGCTTGACAGAAATGTCAACTACCATAAATAAGAGGTTATAACTACAATTTCATCAAAATGTACAGCATATTATCAGTTCTATGGCTTCTTTACTGCCCAATTATTATAATGAATGTGCCAATATGATAGCCCATAACTATCTTATGATAAAATCCTAATATCAATTTGACATTGTAATTTAGATGAGAAAGAACCAATAGTATTTATGTAATACTCCCAAGTCCAGGATACATAATCTACACATTACACATTGTATTTGTAAATAGGAGCCATTCTACTTTTAGAGTGCTAATTTTAAAAAATTTTTTAAATATTGTTTATATTTATAATTATGTATGCTTATAAAATCATTTTCTCATTTGTGTTATTAAAGAACCATTCAAAATATCAACATCGAGGTACAAAATATGGAAAGATGTCTCAAAATGCAACAATGAAATACTTAGTTTGGTGTTGGTGAATAATCAGCATAAAACTGGTCCAGTCACATACAGTAAATACTGGGTTAAGTGAAGGCTCTACTTTTCAAATAGAAAGCTATGCTGAGTATATAAAACTGTGGCTCCCAAATAGCAACCTATAGATCATACATATTTCTCAGTGGCGGATAGAAAAATAAAAACACTATGTTGACTTTTCACAGGTAACTTTATTTAACCTTATGTTTTTTATATCCTCTTGGTAGGAAAACTCTGTTATTTTGTCATGATGATGCTTATATCACCAAATGTCCTTATTTGACAAAATTAAAATTTAAAGGCCACATGTAATACTCAACATTGTTTGAAAGCATATTGATCCACAACATTCAAAAGCCTGAAGCACGTTGGTGTCCAATGTCCTTGAAGTTCTAGGTACAGGACTGTGAACTAGTAAGAACACAAAAACACTAGCAGAAAAGCAACTCCTACAAATGCATGGGTGCTGCTGTCTGCTTATCTCCAGGATCAATGAACTCTATGGCTACACACCTTATCTGTCAGCTAAAGACAAGAGCAGCTCTGCAGTCAGGAGCAGTGTTCCATTTAGAAAAGAGATGCATCAGGGAAATGAGATGTAAGATGAGATTCATAGTATCTATTAGCATCATGGAAATAGCTAACTTTGATTAAATGCTGAGACAGTGCCAGCTTTGGCACTCCTAAGGCTCAAAGCCAAAACAAGCCTGTTCCTCTATAGTGGCCATCATAGTCAAAGGGAAGAAAGGAGGGAAGTAGAATAATAGCTAAGAAAAGACAGGTCAAATGTGAAGAGACTCCACAGGCAACTCTACTTATTTTGAGTTGCCCACTCACTTCCGAGAGAAGGAATGTCTCTTCTGCCTTACCATAACCCAAGCACCCAGTGTTAAGATAGATAGTTATGATCTCAAAACTAAAAATTTTTGTGTTCCAAATGATACCATAAAAAAGTGAAAAGGAAATCCACAAAATGGGAGAAAACATTTGCAAATTACAGACATGATAAAAGACTTGCGGAGCTGGGGATATAGCTCAGCGGCACAGCAACTGCCAGGCAAGTGCGAGGTTGTGCGTTCAATTCCTAGTCCAAAAAAAAAAGAAAGAAAAAAATATATCTATAGAACGCTCATAATTTGTAAAAGATCCATATCTAGGATATCTATAAAACTCCTATAACTAACTTGTAATAAAGTGAAAGTAAATTTTTAAATGGACAAAGAAACCAGGCATGGAGATATGCACCTATAATCCTAGCACTCTGAAAGTCTGAAGCAGAAGGGTAACAAGTTCAAGTCCCACTCCCTGTCCCCACCAAAAGAACCAATAAGCATCAAAAAGATGCTCGACATCACTAGCCATTGGCAAAATGCAAATCAAAATAAAAATGAGAGAGCACTTCAACCCACCACAATGGTTAAAATAAAAAAGATAAACAAAAACTGTTGGTAAGGACACACAGAAATGGGAACTCTCATGCAGTGCTAGTAAGAATTTAAAATGGTACAGCCCCTGTGGAAAATATCTTGGCAGATGCTCAAACACGATACATATAGTTATCATATACACTCAGCAATTTCATTTCTAGGTATACAGTAAAGAGAAATTAAAATATACACACAAAAATATGTACACAACATTCACAGCAACATTATTAATAATGGCAACAGGTCAAAATAATCCAAATCTTGAAAATATTATGCTCAGTGAAAAAAGTCACAGAAGACTAAATGTTGTATGATTCTATTTATATAAAATATGGACAGGGAAATTTATAAAGACAGATAACACAGTCCTAGTAACTTAGAGTAGATGGGAATTGACTGGTAAAGTATAAGGGATCTGTTCTAGGGGCAAAAAATTGTTTTGATACTAGATAGTAGTGATCATTGCAAAACCTTTTAATGTACTTTAGAAGCCCTGAATTATATATTTTCAGCTGGTAAGATGTATGGCATGCTAATTATCTCAAAACAGATGTTTAAAAGAAAAACAACAGCCATAACTGAGTAAGGACAGTGAAGGTCTGCCACCTCTCCTGCTGTTTAGATATGGGTATGTTAAGTATAAAGCAGTACATCTTTAAGTACTTCTATGCAAGGCAGTAGCTCAGGAGAAGGACTAACACTGCAAATTTGAAAAGTACAAATACGTGAGAGGACAAGATCACTCAGAGAAAATATGCAGAGGAAGAATAGCAGGCATGGGGCAGAGTTCACACTTCAAGAAAGAGCAGCACCAAAAGACTGTTATGAAGGGCTACAAAGGAAGCAGGAAGCCAGGGAAAATTTTAGAAGACAAAGGAAAGAATATGAGTAGTCAAGGGATACACAGAGGTCAGATAAGGGAAAGTGAGAAATTTACAACTCACAGGTCCTAGGGACCTCAGCAAGAAGAGCTTCAGTAGCTCACTGCAAGGTGAAATCAGTAGTGGGATGAACAGTGACCCGCTAATAAAGAAAAAGAACTGAAGCCAATTACAGTGTTTTCAAAGGCACACCATTCCTAGCCAGTATGTGTACTCCTTAAAGAAAAAAAAAAAAAAAAAAAAGCAACAAAATGCTCCCCTCATGCATCAAATAAAAGAGATTAGGAATCACATATAAACAGGCCATAAATCTGCATACTGGCCCAATTTAAAGCTAGCAGAAATAAACTGAAATATGTCATTAATATTCACATACACTCTCCAACTGCCCACATAGCACAAGATGGTGAAAACAAGTTTTGCGTTTAGCTGCAGACATATTCAGGATGAACAAAGCACACAAAGCGCCACTAAAATAATTCTCCACCTACTCCCTCCACTAAATATTAAATAAAAGAAGAAATAAAATATTATATTGCAGTTAGCTCAGCTGCTTAAACCAAGTTCAGATCAAGGTTTTCACTACTGATCTAAAAGACAATAGATCAGGCAAGATCATTAAATTACTTGATGATTCTTTAAGCTGCATTAAATTACAAAAGGCCTCTTACAGGAATAGGTTAAGAACCTTAGAGGTTTGAATTTCCATTAACTGCAATTTCTACCCATCAGAAAAAAATAATATACACACATCCTTCTTATAAATTATTTCAAGTCATAAAACAGTACACAATAACACGAAATACAGTATCATGAAAGAAAGTATTTATTCTATAATGACAACATGTTATGTAATTGCCAGCGTAAAGCAGTAGCATTACAAACCTAGACTTCAATACCTGCTCTCTGCTATATTAATAGGTACAGGGCTTTTCCAAATCTCAAGTACCACAACCACAATTTCCCAATTACAAAGTGATTGTGAGGGTTATATACAAAAGCACATTTGAATGCATCATAACAATTACCATCTAGAAGCAGAAGGTGAGAGATTACAGATGTTCCC